TGATTGCACAACTCAATTTAAAGGCGATGTAACCATAGGGAGGGCTCTAAGATATATGTATGTGATGGTGGTGAGTGTACAACTCCCCCTGATGTGATTGAATGATTGAACTGTTCAATTATTTGATGTGTGAATTATGTGCCAGTAAAACTGTTGTGGGGAAAATTTCTTCTTTCAGTATAACTTGTTTCTCTTCTGACTGTCAACATTCCTTTGCCAGCACTGGGATTTAGTCTCTAGTTGTCTTCTTGGGTTGAGGCTGGTGGACTTAGGGAATAAAAGGATAAAAGACTCATTGTAAACTCAGGAGCCCTGGGGAGTAGATGGAGTAGAACAAATCCTGCTTTTCTGTTAGGGACACAGATCAGAGGGTGACCCCCAGGAGGCAGGACCCAGGATACTCTAATCAAATAGTTTGTTACAGCAAGAACTTAGGGTGCAAAGGCCAACTGCAGTAAATTTGACCTAGGGTATGAGCATATGAAGTTGTCCAGTTAGGATATAACTCCCAATCAGTACTTAATGAGAAACAAAACCCTTTTAATATAAATTGCAATATTATATTTTTAGTTGTAGAGGTAACTTGGGGTTGGGTGGGGGGTAATCATGCTCACTGTAGAAAATGCAAAAAGCAAACAGTAGCTATTATCCTGTCACCCAGACATAACTTTATACTGACTTCTGAAAGTCACTGGCCTCAGCTCTGGTTTTGGTGTAAACATTTTGTGAAAATGAGGTCCAGGAGGCAGTTTGTTAATTGGACTGTGCCGAGCTCTGGAATCTAGGGAGGACTCAAGAAGTGGGAGTCTCAATGCCTATCCTCATACTCATAGAAGCAACTTCCATGCTCATGGAAGCAACTACACTCCTATGTTACATAGGTTGGCAGTTCAGGAAAGACTATATTGAGAAGAGAGTTTAATCAATCAATCAAACTGACCTAGATCAGTAAGATAAAGTTTTTAGAAAGGATTGAAACCCACTAGCACAATACACGCTCAGGCGGGCAGCCAGGGACCCCACCGCTGCCAATGCTGCCACAGCTACTGGGGCTGCTGATGGCAGCCCAAATGCTTCCCAGGGAAAAGTAGACCCTGAAAAGCAGTCTGCCTGGCTAGTCCACTTACAAGACTTTTTGCGCCCACAGGAAGAAGGGGAAGAGTCCACCTTTTTCCATTAGAGAGGACAGATGAGGCACCTGCAAGAGGACCTTGGGATGACTGGAAGCCACACCTAGAACTATCTACTGGTCCCCTCAGACTATACAGTAGGTTTGGGCACTAGTTGACCCTGGAGAGGACTATGTTTTGTGGGAAACCAGACCGGTTCTGTTGGCCAGTGGCCCAGATTGCTGTCTATGGAGGCTGGATGGTGTGAGTTGCGCAAGCTTCCCTAGCCCTGGGAATTGGGCAATACGGCCTGCTTGGATCCCAATGGATTTTCATTGTGTTGCCCCAAGGATGTTTACACAGCCCTACTTTATGTCATGGGCTAGTGGCGCAGGACCTGGCTTCCTGGGCCTGACCTGAGTTGGTGGCGTTGTTCCGTTATATTGATGATATTATGTTAACCTCTGATTCTCATGCAGATTTAGAAGACTTTGGGGGGCTGCTGAGGTATTGGGGGATTCTCACACCCCATTTGGCTCAGTTACCGAGCTGGTTAACACCAGTTGTACCTAAAAGGAGCCTTAGGATTGTGAGAGCCTGTGGAAGTTGCCGTTAATCAGTCTAAAGGAGCAGAAACTCAAGCACAGGCATAGTTAGTGACAGCCCCACAGCAGCCTTACCAGCTGTATGTGACCGTCATGCTGATGGATTTGGCAAGCCATGGGACAAAGGAGGGTCCCCATAGGCTTCTAGTCCTAATTTTTGAAAGGGGCCGAAGTTATTAGATATTCCCTTCTAGGAAAAACAGCTGGCTGTGGTTGGTGTCTGCCACTTTACAGGCATGTGAGTCAATCACACAAAGGTAAAAAATACAGGTGCATACAATATACTCCAGTTTTGGGTGGGTACAAATGTCGATGATTGCATGCAAGACTGTAGTGGCCCAAACACCTACACTAGCCAAATGGGGAGTGTGCCTGAAACAAAGAGCAGATCTGAGCACTAACCTGGTATCCCAGGACCTGCATCAGGTATTGGGACCCCTAACCTTTACCACCACACCAACCAAGTAAGGAACCTCCCCCTGGGGATGTGAACCCAAGATGCCTGGTACACTCATGGCTCAAGCTGAGAAAACCCCAGTCCTTGGAATGCAGCAGCTACTCAATACAGACAGCATTGGGTTTGAAACCAGTATGGGAAAGAGTAGCCAATGGACAGAACTCTGAAGGCTGCCTGTATGGTGGCAAAGAGAGAAGACCCCACATACAGGTACCCTCAGTTGGGCAGCATATAGAGCTAAAGCCTATGCCACAACCCTTTAATACCATTCCTCATGTTGTGGTGACCTCCAAACCATAAAATTATTTTTGTTGCTACTTCATAACTATAATTTTGCTACTGTTATGTATCCGCGACCCATGTGAAAGGGACATTCGACCCACAAAGGGGTTGCGACCCACAGGTTGAGAACTGCTGATATAGAGGGTTATGGGCCCAAGGACCTGCTCTTTGGGCCAGTCTCTCCCTAAAACAGAGAGTCTAGGGGTGAAGTGCAGGAAAATTGATAGTCTTTAAAAATGAACGGGCTAAAGTCAAGGTAGGAGTCTTCCACAGGAAGATGATTAGGGCTGCACCAAGAAAGAATAGTGCAGAGGGGCAGGAAGTGGGCCCATTACATAATCACTTATGTAACCATGCTATCATACTTTCTAGTGTGTTGACACAATACTGGTGCTATGAAAGCCAGCATGGGAAGCTCTGAAGGGAGCAGCCTCCTGAGTAAAATGAAGTCGCTGTGCACCGCCTCCTGAATAAAATACGTTTCACTTGCCTTGTGTCCTTCTGATTATCAGCTCCTTGACCTCCGCGTATCCCCATCCTTGAGTTAGCATTTAACTCAAATGTTCACCATTTGAGGTGTGCTTAGTAGGTAACTCCTTAAGAGAGGGCCAGCTGCAGCTGAGTCAGCAGCATCCCCAGGGCCACCACTCCACCGCCCTTCCTCTTGCTGCACTCCCTGGGAGCCGGGGCTGTCAGAGGCCCCAAGGGGACAATGCCTGGCCATGCCAGGAGCAGTGGGTTCCAGAAGGAGGTAGGTGCAATCACTGGTGTGCATGTCTAGTCTCCCGTGCTCAACCCTTGTCTTACCACTCAGGGGACTTTTAAAGCCTCACAATGCTGGTGGCATTGGTGCTTCCTCCACAGGCCTCCTTATGAAGACACAATGATTACCATTTCCTTCATGTTCCACAGGAACAGAGTCTTCAGTGCACTTCAAACTCCGTACTTTTGTCTTCTCGTGGTCTGTGGGTGGATTAGGTTTTGGATAAACACCTTCCTCATTCTGGGGCTCACAGGTCACCCTTCCCCCACCATAAACCATAGCCCACTAAAGCATTCAGGGCAAGAGACAACCTACCTAATTCCCATCAGTCTTGCTCTTTTGTGAGTATCCTCAGGTTTATTTAATCGGGGATGGTGGATAGTCTTGAGACACCACTGGGAGCAGTGGCCCCTAGTTCTGGCAATCACTAACTGTCAGAAGAAGCAATCATCAGGAGCAAATACTGACTTTTACAGGAAGAGAATTAGTGGGGGTGGGGCAAAGCTTTGGCATATTGGTGCACATTAACATTTTCTGATGCTCTGACCTGCCGGCAGCCAGGAAGTGGAACTGATTCTGCCTGGGTCCAGATGCCTGGCCCTATAAATTCAATTGGATTACCAAGGACCTTCAAAAGCCATCACCTTCACCTTGACAGTCCAAGGGTGTGCTGGTAGACCAGCACTACCCAGGAATCTCTCTTGGTCCCCCACACTTTGTAGTTCAACAAGATTCCAGGATCAGTATGAGCAGTACTATTTTACGGGATCCAAACCATTTAAATTCACTTATTTTTATCCCTGGTTGCACATCAGAATCATAGCTTTTAAAACTGCCTGGGCGTCCCCAACCCTGCAAGATACTGCTGCAGTGGGACAGGCCAGTTAGAAGCTCCCAATGATCTGCTGTGGTCTGGGGTTTAGACAACTAAGCCTGGAACAGGAAGAGGTGGGGCAGGGTCTCCTGAGGAGACTTTTCTTGATAACAGAGGCCCAGCCAGCAAGTCCCAGACGAACCTGAAGAAAGCAGTGCCACTAAGTCGTACATGTAGAAACTGTTGAGATGGGATCTATTTCATTCTGTATATATTTCACTACAAAATAAAATGTGGAATAACTCTACCAGAAAATCTAGAAATACATATGAAGAGGCTTGAACATATTCACACCCAATTTCACTTCTGTAAATCTACCTCATAAAGATAATGCCAAAAGCATGACTTTCCGTTACAGTGGGGAAAAACCAAACGCCCTACAGGCAATATCCAACAGGAAAGTAGGGGCTAGGTCCATAAGTGACATAGTGCTCTCCTATAAAATGATGGTTTACCCAATCACATGAGCTAGATAGCAACCTAAGCGAATGTAAATACCACTAATAGAAGCTCAAGGTGAAAAGAAACCGGGAACACAACTCAATACACTGCATAAGCAGAGTAACGCAAAAACAAAACCCCTTCACAGAAAAGCACACTCGGAAAGAACCACAATGCTAACTGAGCATGTGTCTGGGTGATCGTGTCCTACTTCCTTTTTTTCCCTTCTAATTTTATTTGATGTGTTATTTTTATAGCAATAAACTAAAGACCAAAACCCCAATTAAAAAGTCATTTTAAACAGCATCAAGTAATATCCTGATGACTAAGATCTGTGAGTCCACAACATATTTTGTACTTTGACCCCTCCATTTTTAGACTTTTAGATGTGTTTTAGGGAAATCCTTGGTTCTTGCAAAGACATGCAGGCAGATTCTGCCCAGGCAGGCATGACCAGCCCTGCCCTTACCGTTATGAGCCTCCATGGCATGCTCCGGACACATGGCTGACCCCTCTGGCCCCACACACCAGTACATGCTGCATGGTCGCCGTGACATGTCAGCCATCAACCCTCGAAGTAACTGGACTCACTTCCTGCTGCCACTGTCGCTGTCACTGCCACCTTGGGGTGGGTTAAGGCGTAGACAGACTCATGGATGAGTTGAAAATTTTCTTGTTCTGGTGGTGAAAAAAAAATGGTACAACAGAAATGAAATGGCAATCCTCTTCTTTCATTATGTTTACTCATTGACATTTTCTCCTTTGTAACACTTTCCGGGTTCCACAGTCTAGTCAGCTAAGGCAGTGAATGGCCATTGCTATCCCCACCCTACTTTGCTGCTGGACTCTGACCCTGTCTACCCAATAAGAGTCATTAAAAACCTCAAACAATTGTAGAGCACCCACTAGTAAAGGACTCACTATTCAATTAACAAATATTGTCACTTGCAACACAGTCGGCCCCTGGATTAGGCACAATGAATGTGAATTAGATCCCCACCTAAAGTGGTTTACACTTCAATTGTGGTTTGGCACACATAATCACAGTACAGGGCTCTTCATTTGCCCACAAAAGACATTCCCAGGTGCCCAGAGGTGAGAATCTAACAAAAAATGGCCAATCAGACAACCCCAAAGAGAAGGGGTCTGCCAGTAATTGCTTCTCATTGTGAAGCCAGAAAGGCATCCCTGGGTGGCACAAACAATTAGACTCAGGTGCTGACTGAAAGGGTGGAGACAGGTGATCTACTTCAGAAAGATGATACCTTTGAAAACTCTGTAGAGCACAGTTCTCCTCTACATGTAAGGCTGCCATGTCAACTCAAAGGAAACTTCTGTTTTTAAAAATGAAGCCAAGTTCATTTGAACTTTGGGAGCAACAGAATGAGCCTCAGAGAGTCTTTCTCCCTCCTCCCCGAGTCCAAGGGCTGTGTCTACAGACATTTTTAAGAGAAATGTGATGTAGTAGGTTTATGAGTTGGGCTGCTAACCCAAAGGTCAACTCGGCTGACCCCATCAGCTGCTCCTCGGAAGACAAATGGTGACTTTTGCCTCTGTAAATATTTATAGCCTCAGAAACCCAACAGGCCAGTTCTATGCTGCATCATAGGGATTCTATGACTCAGGATGGATTTGGGGGCAGTGAAGTTAGTAAGTCAGTTTGTTTTGAGTGACACAACTAAGGGGAGGGATGGTGTTATAGTCATCCAATTGGTAAAGACCAGAAATGTTGCTAAAATAAAATCCTATAATACACAGTGTGTTGGTCTGGGTACTTTAGAGAAACAAATCCACAGAAACTCATCTATAAGAGAGAGTTTTAGATAAAGGTTAAGTGCGCATCAAGAAAACATCCCTACCCAGTGCTGCCCAGGCCCACAAATCCAACATTAACCCATCAACCCATATGTCCAACATCAATGCACAAAGTCCTCCTCCATCTCACGTTGTGCCCAACTGCAGGAGGAAAGCCGAGTCAGTGAATGTGTAAGCATCTCAGTGCTGGCAGGGGTCTCCACAAGGCTGCTCCAGACCCAGGGCTGCATTGGGGTAGATCCATGTGGCTTCTCCTTGGGGATGTCTTGCAGGAAGTCAGCCTTGCAAGTTGAAGCAGGGAACTGCTAAGGCAGCTGCCTCCTGGTCCGATGATCAAAGAGCAAGTGACCCGAGAACTAGAAAGGCGAGGCTCACTGAGCCATTTATCCCTCCGCCCTTCAATTAACCACACATGTGTTTATTGACCAGGTTGGCACAATAAACTACCTCACATAGGATTATTGAAAAAAGTAAAAAGATTTTAAATGATTATTGATGAAGATCAAAGACTATAGTTTTTAGTATGAATTATAATTCAATGTGAAGAAAAGCAAAATCCTCACAAATGGACCAATAGACAACATCATGATAAACGGAGAAAAGACTGACATTGTCAAGATCTCATTTTGCTTGGACCTACAATCCGTGCCCATAGAAGCAGTAGTCATGAAATCAAACGCCATAGTGCATTGGGAAAATCTACTGCACAAGACCTCTTTAAAATGTTAAAGAGTAGAGATGTCACTTTGTGGACTGGTATGCCTGACCCTAGCAATGCTAGTTTCAATTGCCTCGTATACGTGTGACATCTGGACAATGAATAAGGACGAATAGAGAAGAAATAATGCTTTTGAATTATGGTATAGGTAAAGAATATTGAAGTACCATGGGCCACCTAAAGAACAAATCTGTCTTAAAAGAAGAAAAACCAAAATTGTCCTTAGAAGATAAGACTTCATCTCATAAATGTTGAAGAGGTTATTAGAAAAGCCCAGTTCCTGGAAAAGCACATTATGCTTAGTAAGGAGAAGGCAGTGGAAATGAGGAAGGACGAGATGATTGGCACAGTGGTGCGAAAACGATGGGCTCGGTGTGACACAGGACCTGAGCAGTGACGGGCTCACAATGAGAGAGAGATCTGGGTGGCACCTGTCACCAACAGTAGCCCAGAGAACAGCCCCACCACAACACATTACCCAATGACAGGTCTATACTGAGAGATGCACGACTATTTCAGATCACCAGGGCAGCATTTATCCAAGGACAACGTTTAAAAGGGTTAAGAACGGAGGAGTGGAAATGGGAAACAAGGAAGACACGGAACAAGAGAGGGGATTGCAATGAATGAGGCGAAACAAAATGTGCTTTTGCAGTGAATGGAAAACTGATGATCTCATGTGCAAACCTTCACTCAATTCACAATAAAAAGTTTAAAAACAGTACCCACATACAAAACAAGAACACATTGCATTTTCTTTTCTGGTGCATATAGATTGTTCTCTAGAACAGAAAATGTTAGGCCACAAAGCAAGGCTCAACAAATTCTAAAAGATCGAAATAATAAAAATTAATTTACTCTATGGGGCAGCACTACTCTTCGGGGAATCAGAATCAACTCAACAGCAGTGGATTTGGGGTCATGAAAGGCTTGAATTCTCTGATTTGCATGTTAGAAGTATAACTTCAAGCTTAAACATTGATTTCTTTGTTTCGTCATCTATAGAAAGCAGACGTACCTCCTGCTTGCTGACCTTACAGGGTTGTTGGGAGAGTTCTAGCAAAGTAAAACTTCTGGACTTTCTACCAGAGGGCTGGACGTGGTTATTACCAACAACAACGCAGTGAGGCCATGGTCTCCCATCTGGCCCCTGGTTCACAAGCTCACAATATAAATGCTGCAGGGGAGATGCCTTGTCTCCCCGGCACTCAGCCTTGTATCATATCAGGCACCTTGAATAGTGAAGGCACTGAGTTGGCTACAGAACATGGCTGCTGAGATCAGACTTCCAGGACGCTCAGACTCACACATATGGATAAAATCAAATTGTTCCTGTTAATGTCTCGGGAAGCTGGGGCCAGCAGTACCCTCCACCAGAGGCCTGCTCATTATGAATAGTGCTTTGCTGAGTGGGAGAGAAAGACCTAGACTAGAAACGGCAGGTGGGAACCACCGTGTTTCAAGTCTGGGAGCCTGAATAGTCTAGAGGGGAAAGGAAAAATGGTTAATCTGGCCAAAATTTAAGAGATGCTCAAAATCTTATTAATTGCAAAAGCTGATTAGGAAAATTAACTAGAGACTGGTGTCAATGGGAAAAAAAACTAGGCAGAATCTTCAATTTATCAACCCCACAGTAGCATTCAACAAGAAGCATCGTTGCTATCTGCTTTCAATCTCTAAAACAGCTATTACATATATCCAACATTTCAAAATCCACAATACACATTCCTTCCGAAAGTGTCTTATTCCCATATAAACCCACTGCAGGAGAGATCACTCTGATCGTAGGGCAGAGAAGGTAGGCCCCAGAAGGTGTCCTCGGCAGCAATCTTTCTAGAAGGAGCCCTGGTGGCACCGTGGCTAAAGTACTCAGCTGTTAATGGAAATATCCATACGTCTAACCCGCCAACTGTTCCATAAGAGAAAGGCGTGGCAGCCAGCTTCCATCAAGATTGACAACCTTGGAGCCCCTGGGGGGTCGTCGCGTTGAGCCCTACGTTGCTATGAGTTGGAATGAACTTGATGGCAGTGAGTTTGCGTTTCGAGTAATCATCACGAAAGTAGGCTGCCACAATTTCTCCCAAGAAGCTACTAGTTGCTTTGAACTGCTGGTCCTTCAGTTAACAGCAGAGCACATAATTCTTCTGCCACCAGGCTCTTTTATGTCTATAATGTCAAAAAAAATTTTGAGCAAAAACCTTAAGATTATTTTGAGCTAAACTTCACCCAGTACCTTTGTTCCCCTTTTCATTTTCAGTTTCCTTTTGAAAAAATCACTTTACCAATGGAGGATCCTACCACAGGAACAGTTTTAAAACTGTAATTTCTATTTTGGTTTACATTCTAGTTAGAAGTTGTAAGATGAGGTAACACAGGTTTTGGTCAATCTTTGCCCTCTGCTTTCTTCTGTTGTTTAATTTGGGTTCAGGTTAATACAACAAATCCTGATGTTACATTATAGTTTATTTTTCTTTTGCCATGGTATATGCATCAAAAGAGGGCCTCGGGAGCTTTTCAGACTTCATAATGGCTTTAGTATATTTTCTCAAAATCTCATCAATTTCTTTCATCAATTATTTATACTCGCATTATTGAATAAACCTTAATGCCAAAGGAATATAACATTCATTCCCCCCACTTGTCTGTCCGTTTGTCTTGCTGTGGTGGCTTGTGTGTTGCTGCGATGCTGGAAGCCATGTCACCAATATTTCAAATGCCAGCAGAGGCGCCCAGCTGAAAAGAGTGATTCAGAACAGACTACTAAGAAGGAATAGGCTGTCCAGTTCTGAAGACTTAGCTGCTGAAAACCGTATGAACAGGTTGTCATGAAATATTGTCAGACACTGAAAATCTCATGAAAAGAAACAGAACATTGTCAGAGATAGTGCCAGAAGGTGAGGCCCTCAGGTCAGAGGGCACTCAAAATAAATGCCTTCCATTCAAAGGCGAAGGTGTGCCTGTCCCAAGGCATGGTTTTTTCAATTGCTTCATATGCATGGGAAAGTTAGGCATTGAATAAGGAAGATCAAAGAAGAATCAACCCATTTGAACTTTGGTGCTGGTGAAGAATATCGAAGTATCGTGGACTGCCAAAAGAACAAACATCTGTCTTGGAAGAAGTACAGCCAGAAT